AATTAAGAAGCAATTGAGGTTTAAACAAAGTATATTATTGTTACTCCTTTATATCAGACATATTATCAATCATGAAACTATGAAAGTACTCCGTAGTATGAAGCATTTTGCGGTTGCTCTTTATTGGTTTCACCAATTTATTTTGCTGATAGAATATGTGATCATCTTTACTAGCCGTTTAGCAAAAGTAACGATTTATTGTTATCGATAGCATTTATAAATGCCCCTTTCTTTTATTACAGAGTATTATTTTTTGAGGAGTTTTTCATTATTCGTCATCTATTCTTTTTTAGTAAGCTTTTCTATTAGAGTACTTTTACACCCTCATTTTAGTAAGATTGGGCCCGGTTCCAACCATGCCAAGGCTTAAACTCAAAAAAATTGGCCCGCCGGGATCGGAACCACCCAATTCAATCCCAAAAAAGTAGAACCCGGAACCGGGTAGCCTATACACCCGGTCGGATACCCAATCTTCACCAGGAACCAGAAAAATGAACCGGTCCGGGAAAATGTTTAAGTATTGTTTGGGTAGCCTATACACCAGGTACACGTAAATTTGAATTGGTTGAAAATATTTTGTGTTAGAATTTAGAAAGATGGACTTGTTTGGATAGCCTTGGGTTTAGGTTTAGACGAGACGAATTGCATATCACTGTGACTAGGGATGGACTCGGGACGAGTTAACCGAACCGGAACCGGCCCGAACCGGCACTGTTCCGGCCCGAACCGGTCTGGTCCACGGTTCTGTGATCGGTTCGGGCCACTCGGCCCGGCACTGTAGAGGGGCGGTTCCCGGGCCTTGCATTTGATGAACCGGCCCGGCCGGTTCGGGCCAAATTTTTTTTTTGTTTTTCTCATTTTTTAAAAGGTAAATGGGTTGGGCTGGGTATTTTGGAGGGGTTTGGGGTGTGGGGGGTAGGAAGTAATTAGAAAAAAAAAAGGGTTAACCGGCCCGGCCCGGTAACTGTCGGGTGAACCGGCCCGATCCGGGTTTGGAGCTACCGGGTGAACGGGTCTCACTTCTCCCAAAAAAAGCCCGGTCGGAACCGGACCGAGGCCCGGCCTGGCCTGAACGGCTGAACCAAGTCCATGCCTAACTGTGACGTGGTTCAGATAGAATATAGGTAAGGACTCAGGATGAATGGTAGTTAGTTTGTGTTTGGTAACACGTACAATAAAACATTAAAACGGGGGTTAATAACTCAAGTAACCAAATGAAATTCCATCAAGGTAATGGGGTTTGGGTTAGCTTACCCAAACATGCGTTTGAGCTGGTTTCTCTACTGGAGCTTCAGCTTAAATGAGTTGGGTGAACAATGACAAACACATTATTCTCTCTCAAGTCTCTACTAGAACTACAAGTTGGTGATTATACAAACTCTAATGATCACCAAACATGAATAAAAACGTTTTGAAATTCCAACATATAAGTACTATGTTTTTATTCTCAAAATACTTGCATATTTAAAGCCTATTAATGCCAAATAATATTAATAATTACTCATACTTGGAGAATAAAAACATATACTCCTATGGTTGAATTCACAAACGTTTTTACTCCTATTTAGGGCAATTTCTTGTACTTCGTATATTAACAACTATTAAATGGCTTCTCTATCATCATAGTAATTGTTACATTACATGTATTTGGTTCATATTATCTAAAATATATTGGTAGTGTTAGGAAAGTAATACGTAGTATCAATTACCTCGTTTGGTTGGATTTATAGAATTACTGGAGAGATCTTGTGGAATTACAATATTTGGTAGAAATTCTATGATTTTGTGTGTAATATTTTAAAATGAAGTAATAGTAGAGGTTATCTAATTACCTTGACTTTCTTAATCTGTGTAAGATTACCTCGGTCATGTTCTTATGAGTCTACGACTCTTAAATCATGCATTCTTACACTATTTTAAACGGACTAAATTACATTTTCACTAAATTACTCTTATAATTTCACATTACCTAAATAATCCTTAAATAGAGGAAATCTCACATTCTCATAATCTCGTTTTACCTAAGGTGACATGACTGACATCTATGAACCAAAGACATCCTAAAGTATTAAACACCCTATATTTTTCGATAACAATATCGGTTAACTTTGATCCATCCATAGTTAATGCAAATGAGGTCATTTGCTCCAAGTGATGTCGGGAAAAGATATGCTAAAAAACACAAAAACAGTCAAAAGCTTCCAAAATCAGAACATCTCGGTAATATCCCCATATGTGTTACAAACTCATTAGATAATGATCATCTGTAATTTACAAAAAAAAATCAAATTAATGTTCACACAGGGGAATGTCTGATACGTAAAATTTACACTCTTGGGGATCTAGGGTAGAAAATTAAAACTACAAAATCAAGCCGTTAAAACATTGTTCTTCTGGGGGTGTATAGGTTAGGCCGTTATGTTGGCCTACAATGGCTCTGGTCTAAATGAACCCACATATTATTTTTAAAGAGAATTTGAACTCGTGAGCGGTAACTCGGTAGAGAGATGCCTAAATGCTTTGTGTAAATGGTGCACAGGTTAGGTTGTTATGTTGGCCTACAATGGCTCTGGTCAATATATGAACCCACGCATTATTGTCAAAGAGAATCTAAACTCGTAAGCTCCTGTAAGAGAGTTGCCTAAACACTGTGTAAGTGGGTGCATAGGTTAGGGCATTAGGGTGGCCTACAATGGCTCTAGTCAAAAATGAACCCAGGAAAAACTGTCAAATAAGTCCACATACTTTCCACAAAAAGTCAATTGAGTTCACGTACTTTTAAACTGATCAATCAAGTCCATGAAGTATGAAAAACTAACCAAATCAGCCTTTTGTGGGTAATCAACCGGTTAGCCGGTTGACTGCCTACGTGTCTGTCTAGTTGGCTTTTTATTTACTATTTTCCATTTATATTATTTTTGGTTTTCTTTTCCATTTTCTTTTGTTTTTTCTCTTTCCTTTCTTTGTGTCTACCAGTCCACGACCAGCTCGCTTCTCCCGTTCTCCGTCAATTCCAACTCTTCTCCCAAGGCTTCCTTCTCCTTCAATCTTCTCCCTAAAAAATCTACCGGTCTATTGAAGCTTGGCTGGCGGTCCGGCGGAGATAGTGACTGAGGCCGAGTAAGAGACGACGGAGCCTGTAACTATTCAGGCAGGGGTGGCGTAGACGGAGGCCAGGACGATTGGAGGTCGATCCAATGGATGTGACAGCGAAGATCGATGAAGGTTGGGTGAGTGGAGGTCGCACGCGGAGGTGGGTGGCTATGGAAGTGGGGACGGTTGGAGGTCGCCCTAATGGACGAGGAGGAGGTGGATGCCGCAGATGTGGTGGCCGGAGGCTGAGGTGGAGGCCGCAGATATGGTAGCCGGAGGCGGTGCGTATTGAAGTAGGGTACGGAGGTGGAGGCCGCACACGGAGATGGTGGTTATGGAGGCCGGGGCAACGCTTTAATGGAGGAGGTGAAAGTGGTGGCTGGAGGTTGTTCTAATGGGAGGAGGAGGCGGCAAAAATGGAGGAATTGGAAGAAGTAGAAAAGAAGAGAACACAGCGGACAAGAAGAATGAGAAAGAAAGAAAAAAGAGGAAGAGGGAAAAGAAAAAAGAAAAAGGAGAAGAAAAGAAAATTAAAAAAATAGAAATCAGTAAAAAAATGCCAAGGACATCCACATAGGTTTATTACCGGTGAAAAAGCTTATTTGATTGTTTTTTTTTTGGACTTAATTGACTTACAAAAAAGTACATGGACTCAATTGACTTTTTGTGAAAAGTAAGTGGACTTAATTGACAGTTTTCCCAATGAACCCACATATTATTTCATTTTCATTTTCATTTACCCCAATGCCGCAAAGGCTCCCACCTACGGTGGGGTAAGGGGGGTCGGATGCACGCAGTCTTACCCATGTACTAAAACACAGAGAGACTTTTTCCGGATGACCCATAGTGAAAAGCGCGTCCAAAATTGCATGGACTGACTGCTGCTTCATAACAAAGAAGCGCAGACAGTTTAGTGAGCATTTTGCTTTATTCCATCATAATCTCAAGCCAAAACATAATGAATCTTTGGCTCCATTGCAAATGATGGAAATTGAACCCATGTTAAAGAGAATTCAAACTCGTGAGCTCTGGTAAAAGAGATGCCTACACACTTATGTAAGTGGTGCATATGTTAGGCCGTTAGGGTGGCCTATAATGGCTCTGGTCAATATGAACCCACATATTATTGTTAAAGAGAATCTAAATTGGTGAGCTCCTGTAAGAGAGTTGCTAAATACTTTGTGTAAGAGAGTTGCTAAATACTTTGTGCAAGTGGGCACGTATTATTGTTAAAGAGAGTTTGAACTTGTGAACTCCGGTAAGAGAGATGCATAAACACTTTGTGTAAGTGGGTGCATAGGTTAGGCTGTTAGGGTGGCCTACAATGGCTCTGGTCAAAATGAACTCGCATATTATTGTTAAATAGAATTCAAACTTGTGAGCTTCGGTAAGAGAGATGCCTAAACACTGTGTAAGTGGGTGCATAGGTCAAAATGAACCCACTGATTATTATTAAAGAGATTAGAACCCATGACCTCCAGAAAGAGATGTCTAAACACTTTGTTTTCTCTGATTACACGATTGTGAAACATTCTGGCTTCCTAAGATGAGCTTGACGCAACTGGTGTAATCTCTTCCCACGATGCCAAACACTCTTTGCTTATTTATTTTCTACTCCTCGGTCTGAGTTTTGTTGTCCCCAGAGAGTTTTAGGAGAGCCAACTTGAGAAATCTCTTCCCACTTTCCTTCTTATACTCTTGAAAAATTTTAATAAGGTAGGTGGTTGCAAGTTGATAGTACAGTAATGGTAAAATAGTATGGTAATGATATATCCGTAAAGTATAGAACAGTTTTTCCCGTAAACCCTTCCATACCCGTATCACTACTCAGAATAGTTTATTTGATAGTAAAGTTGCATCCATTTTAGGAATTTTATGTGAAGGACAAAAAAAAAGCAGGTGTGACAATAAAACCGGAAGGATAATTGACTACACTCTGGGGTTGACTTGGCACATTTATTAAGAAAATAAACTTGTGTGGTTAAACTGTTGGGTTACGGAGTGCTTAACAAGGAAAGACAATATTAACACACATTTCTTTCCTTAATATAAAACTAAAGAAAAAAATTTGGACACCTGAAAAATGGGAATAAAATCATGACAGGAATTTTTTTTCTCGATTATAGAATAGAGTAAGCACGGATGACCTCAACAATCGGTGCTCGGCACAATGGACACTTCCCTCCGGTTCTGACCAACTCATTTGCACATTTTGAGCATGTGCACATGTGCCCGCATCTGCAAACCCCACACAAATTATACTATAAATATAAGAGAATATGTGTTCAGGTAGGATGTGGGTTGGTCAGTCATACAAGTCTGCATAATTGATAGGAGAGTTTTAAAGAAGCATATATATATACCGGTAAAGCAGGGAATCAATATGGCAATCACAGCAGACACAGCAATTACCCTTCCTTGCATGGCTCCATTTATAACTGTCCAATGAGGAGTTCTGTGCAGCCCCCCCTGTCAAAACATTTACGTTACCAGATATAATGACAAAAATTAAATAAAATAGATAAAAAAAACTCTGCTTGATTGATAGACCGATCCTAATGTGTTTTACTCATCAGTGGAAGAGTTGTTTTTTAGCTAAAGTACTTTTAACAAAAGGGATTTGGTTAAAAGTGATGTTGAACAAAAGAGGTTGCATTGACTGTTTAATCCAAAGTGTATATACGGCAGCAAGGATAAAAGTTTCATTTTGAAAATTGGTGGAGTTGTTACCAAAAAAGATAAGGAACAAATATACCCTTGAACTATAGGTCACAGAACATATACACCCCTCAACTTTTTGGAACAAATAAACACAACATTTGTAAAGTTGAAACAAAAACACTCATGAATAAATATCAGATAACATATATACCCCTCAACTGTTAGACAAACATAAGGGCATATATGTCCCAACTTTACAGTTTTTGTTTTAACTGTTCTAAAAGAGAGTTGAGTTGCATATTTGTTACTCCCTCCGTCCCATATTTATCTTCACAAGTACAATTGGCACACATATTAAGATAGTGGGAAATGTATGGTGGAGAGTTGTGCAGAGGAAATAGAAATGTGTAAGAATGTGTAAGAATGGTTGTGAACCACAAATTCTTTGCTAAAAAGGGAAAGAGGAGATAAATTTGAGACAGACCGAAAAGGAAAGTATGAAGATAATTCCGGGACGGAGGAAGTATTTGATACTCCCTCCGTGCCATTATAAGGTTCCCACTTTCCTTTTTGAGAGTTCCCGTTTAAAGGTTCCCATTTCTATTTTAGGAAACAATTAATACTCTTAAATGACAAATTAATCAAGTATTAAAAATAATATATCTATAATATCACAGTTATCATTGTTAGGAATAGTAGATAAAAGCTACACGTACATTGCTTTGTAATTAATGTTAGTTGGGCTTCTGTTATATTAGCTACAGTTAGTTACAACCATAGCTTCTATAAATACTCTGTACACTTTCTATTTCTGAATAAGATGATTTCACTTCTTTCTTCTACCTTGCTCTATTTCTAATATGGTATCAGAGCTCTGCTCGATCTACCATGGCGAACTCCGAGTCAAATTCTTCTTCTTCGTCGCAATCAACTTCTCAGATTGCCAGTCAAACCTCGCCTATCATCTTTCATCATCCTCTACCTGTTAAACTCGATTCAAACAATTTCCTGTTCTGGCGACACCATGTCGAATCAGTAATTCGAGCTCATAAGCTTCTCAGATTCATAGAAAATCCTCAAATACCAGATCGTTTTGCTGTTGATGAAAATGGAACAAAAACTGTTAACGAAGCGTACAACACATGGGAGCAACAAGACCAGATGTTGTTTTCCTGGCTCTTAGCTTCGCTTTCTGAGTCACTTCATGCTCGCGTCATCTGCTGCAAGCACTCGCATGAGTTATGGAGTGAAATTCAGCAATTCTTCCGCTCCAGCATCATCGCGCGAGCTCGTCAGCTGAAATCGGAGCTGTATAACACCGGAAAAGGTGATCGTTCTATTTCCGAATATCTGCTTCGCATTCAGACCATTGTGGATAACCTAACATCTGTCGGAGAGCCTATATCCACCAAGGATCACATCAATGTGATCCTTGAAGGTCTTCCTGAGGATTATGAATCATTAATATCTTCTGTCACCTCGCGAAGTATTTTAGATCCAGTTTCCTTGGTCTGAACTTGAAGGCCTTCTGTGATAGAGACCCATCTAATCCGAAGACTGGTGATCAATATTTTGGAAGAGTGTACTCGAGAAGGAGGAAATAAGCTGCGAGTCTTGGGTTCTTTTCTTTTTGTTATTAAATGAATAACCACTTTCTGTTTTAAGCATACTATAAATAGAAGTAAGGCTGGGGGGGAGTAGGCAGGCTGTATGACAGAAGTTGTCTTGACGGGGAAGTTAGAGATATTTTGTCTCTTTCTTTTGGGGGCTCCGGCCTTGGTTGCTTGTTCATTTCAATACCATTGTTGCTTATTTTCTCTTAATTCTCTTATATCTTATCTGTGATCTGGTTGGGTTCTATCAGTGGTATCAGAGCACGTTGATCGTTGGGTGATCTTTACGTGCGCTAGGATGGAAAAACGATTGAACAATCTGGAAAAAAATCAACGGGAATTAAGTGCAGCTAAGGTAACTCTGGCGGAAAGTATAGCAGAGATACGAGCTACGCTAGCGACCTTGGTGGGGAGAGGTAAACGTCGATCGGGAAACAGATCGCATAGGTCGGAATTTGCGCATAGTTCTTCGCAGCGCAAATCGTTTCCCAGTTCGCATACTGAGTCGCGAACTAACAGGCCACGAACTCCAGCTGCTAGGGAGAAGTCTTCGTCGCAGTCGCAAGCCGCCTCTCACCTATCATCAACGACCAGTCCGAAATTGTCGTCTCTGGCCGCATGTCACAGCTCGGCGACGCTAGCCGTTCCTCACCCTGCGCAAGCTTCATCAGTTTTCAGAACCGTAGACCAAGCTGAATCCAATAATGGATCACCAGGAACTTCATCGCCAACAATGAACAGTAAGTTGAGATTGTCAGAACCGAAAACTCAGGAGGAGGAGGTCACAAGCGCAGATAGGTCAAAAAGGACAAGTGATAAGATTTATTATTGGACTCTAGTGAAAGCCATGCCAAAATCTGTTGATTCATCTGAACCAGATAAAAAACTAGATCAGGTCATTTATAATATCAAACTTCTTGGACCTGTTTTACTGGGTGAAGGCATGGCGGATACACTTTATTTTTGTAGGGGAGAGCATGAAACAGACTACTCAATTTTTCCTTGGAGGGAGAAGTGTGTTGCTTATGCTGAAAGTCCGGACCAAGCTCAGGTGGGTGACTGTGTTATAATACTTCCGGATGCCTTGGCAAAATCATGGGTGCAGGATGGTCCACAGATAATTTCATTTGAAGAATCAGTTTTCAATTGGGATGATGAATTCCTTCTTGATAGCAGTCAGGAAAAAAAAAATCATGCAATAAAGAAGTTCTGTGTTATTATCAAATTTAAGAATCATGACAAGGCTTTTGGCCCTATTTCAGATTACCGGTTGAGTAGAAGCAGTGTGAATCTGGACCCTACTATTCAGATTGCTGGAATTAATATCTCCAAGAGGGAACAACTCATGAATTTATCTTTAAAGCCAAAAAGGGTTAAAGGAAGGGAAGCTGAAGTAAATGGTCAACCTATGGGACTGACAGTGAAACTGGCTCCAGGAGTTTGGATTGTCATGCTCAACTGTTTGCTGGACAGTCAGATTTTCAAATCTTTGTGATGGATATCATTTCAGCATTGGTTGATCATTCCAACAATAAACAGTACTTTGAGACCATAATTCAGAATTTCATACAAAACTGTTATCATCAAGGTGTTCTATTCATTGGAGATGCAGATTGTTATGGTCAAAGTATGAACCGAGATTCTGTGCATGCAACAGCTATTGGTCAGATGGTGGATGATGGTGGTTTGTTATTACTAAAGATTCTTACTGATGAGGTTGGTGAAGAAGGATTATGCATATGGAGTTGGTCTGGTGGCAATGTGCCAAGTTTTTTGTTACCTTCCTTGGTTGCTGCTGTGAAGAATAAGACTTACAGGTCCGAAGCTGACTTTGTATTCTCAATTGGAGATTCTGCAAGAGATCAGACATGGGGCAGTGAAGGAGATAAAGAAAGTGGCCAAAAGGATCACCATGTTGACAAAGAGATTGAGTGGATACCAAAACGAAGAAAACTATCCGAGCTGAAGTATTGGGAAGGCAGAGGAGCAAGGATAAAACGTACTGGCATGACTGTTTCTTACTCAGATATTTCCCACCTTGAGGACAAGGTGGTTGTCAAAGGGGGGAGTATTGATAGAGACCCATCTAATCCGAAGACTGGTGATCAATATTTTGGAAGAGTGTACTCGAGAAGGAGGAAATAAGCTGCGAGTCTTGGGTTCTTTTCTTTTTGTTATTAAATGAATAACCACTTTCTGTTTTAAGCATACTATAAATAGAAGTAAGGCTGGGGGGGAGTAGGCAGGCTGTATGACAGAAGTTGTCTTGACGGGGAAGTTAGAGATATTTTGTCTCTTTCTTTTGGGGGCTCCGGCCTTGGTTGCTTGTTCATTTCAATACCATTGTTGCTTATTTTCTCTTAATTCTCTTATATCTTGTCTGTGATTTGGTTGGGTTCTATCATTCTGTTGGCTAAAGAATTACGACTGAGAAAACTACGTGACTCCTCACAGCAAACAATATTTTCTGCTAATGTTGCGTGAGTTGAAACTATCTCTCCTACTATTGAAACTGAAACTCAGAATACTTCAGAGAATGCCTCAGCTCAAATTGCTCAGTTTGACACTTCTGCAGACAATTCATCCTATAGAGGAAGAGGTCGTGGAGGTTTTAATAGAGGCAGAGGTGGTCGTACAGGTGGTAGAAGCTCTACAACTTGTCAAGTCTGTGGTAAAAATGGTCACAATGCCATTGTGTGCTATCACAGATACAATCCAGCCTATACAATTTCCAGTTCTAATCCTTCTACTATGCATCAATCTCCTTTTCCTTACTCAAATCAGCCTTACCAACCTCAACAGTCTCCTTTTCAATACTCAAACCAGCCTTACCAACCTCAACAGCCTCCTTTTCCTACACCACATTCATATCCAAATCAATACCAATATCAATCATCTCCTTCAAACACAACAAGATATTCACCCAATCCAACCCATCAATCACAGTTTATGCATCAAACACAACCTTATACTCCATCACCTAATCATCCTTCACAATTCAGTTCATCATCAACTGTGCCAACTGCAGCATGGGCTTCTGCAAATTCATCTATACTTGGACCAGCTCCCAATACACAAAACTGGTTCCCAGACTCTGGAGCAACACATCATGTCACAGCTGATCCCCTAAACTTTCAACACAGTGAGCCTATTGCTACCACTGATAAGCTTTTTATGGGCAATGGTCAAGGTTTGGAAATTAAGTCTATTGGCTTTTCATCTTTTCCCTCTCCTTATCATTCATCTCTTTCTTTATCTCTAAATAACATCTTACATGTTCCTGCCATCACTAAAAATCTGTTAAGTGTCAGCCAATTTGCCAAGGATAACCATGCATTTTTTGAATTTCATCCTCATGAGTGCTTTGTCAAATCCCAGGTTTCTAAACAAATTCTGCTATATGGAATCCTTGGTGAAGATGGTCTTTACAAGTTCCAGTCATTTCCGGCTCTTGGGTCTCACCAGTCACCTGCAAAAGTGTCCAAGTCTTATTCACCTATTTCTGTGTGTCCTAGCTCTCTTATGTCTACTTGTAATAACTCTCAGTCAAACATCAATTGTAATATTTGGCATTTAAGACTAGGCCATCCTCATTTTGAGGCTCTTAAGTCTGTACTCAATCTTTGTAATCTGTCTCATTTAAATAAAAATGCTATGGACTTTTGTTCTGCTTGTTGCCTTGGTAAGGCTCACAGATTACCATCCCATCCTTCTACAACTGTATTTCATTCTCCTTTTGAATTGATTTACACTGACTTATGGGGACCAGCTCCTATTCAATCCCTTGATGGTTATTGTTACTATATATCCTTTATTGATGCCTTCACTAAGTATACTTGGATATATTTTCTCAAAAAGAAATTTGATGCCTTCTTAGCTTTTCAAAACTTCTATCAATATATCTTCAATCAATTTCATGTTTCTATCAAATCTTTACAATCTGATTGGGGAGGAGAATTCAGGTCATTCACTAAGTTTCTGACTGATAAGGGTATCAATCATAGAGTTATATGTCCTCATACACATCATCAAAATGGTGTAGTAGAGAGGAAACATCGCACCATTGTTGAAAAAGGTCTATGTCTTTTAGCTCATTCCTCTCTACCATTCAAATTCTGAGACACTGCATTTGCTACTGCAGTACATCTTATCAACAAACTTTCATCTAAATCTATTGCCAATCTCAGCCCTAACTTCAAACTTTATGGCACCCTTCCTGATTACAATTTCCTCAAAGTCTTTGGTTGCTCTTGCTATCCATTCATTAGACCTTACAACAAACATAAAATGGATTATCACTCTAAGGAATGTGTTTTTCTGGGATACTCATCTCATCATAAAGGCTACAAATGTCTTTCTCCCTGTGGCAGAATTTACATTTCCAGGGATGTCATCTTTAATGAAACTAGATTTCCATATCCCACTCTTTTTCCCTCAACATCCACTTCATCCACTAGTATTCCAGTTTCCCTCTCAGCTCCAATAAAAATTCTTCCTACTTCCTTATCATCACAACCTCAATCTGACAATGATGTCAATACTTCTTCCAGTTCCTCTTCTTTACACACTTCTTCATCCCCTACACCTCAGGATAATACTGCCTCACATAATCATCATCAATCTTCCAATAACTCAACTTCTTCTAACCACCAAAATAACACATCTGACAATTCTCACTCTCCATCATTCTCTGATTCCTCCTCTTCCACATCCCCAAGTCCTCCCCATAACTCTCATCCCATGCAAACCAGGTCAAAATCTGGGATTGTCAAGCCTAGACTTAATCCAACTTTACTGTTGGCCCATATAGAGCCCAAATCAGTTAAGCAAGCTCTTTCTTCTCCACCTTGGCTTGCAGCCATGCAATCTGAATACAATGCCTTGATATCTAACAAAACTTGGTCTCTAGTCACTCTTCCTCCAGGCAAACAGGTTATTGGCTGCAAGTGGGTATTCAGAGTAAAGGAAAATCCTGATGGTTCTGTGAATAAGTTCAAAGCCAGGCTGGTGGCAAAAGGGTTTCATCAGAGGTTTGGATTTGACTTTGGAGAAACATTTTCTCCAGTAGTCAAACCTGTCACAATCAGAATATTGCTTACACTTGTTGTCTCTCACCAATGGTCTATACAGCAACTTGATATAAATAATGCCTTTCTCAATGGGGATCTTGAGGAAGAGGTCTACATGTCACAACCTCCTGGTTTTCAGGCCAAAGATACCTCTCTTGTCTGTAAACTACATAAATCTTTATATGGCCTTAAACAAGCTCCAAGGGCTTGGTTTCACAAGCTCACTTCAGTCTTATACAATGCTGGTTTCAAACAGAGCAAGAGTGATCCTTCTCTTCTTCTATACCTCAAACCTGGGATCCAAATTTACATTCTCATCTATGTTGATGACATTCTTGTCATTGGCAACAATTCCACAGTTATCCAACAAATCATTCAAACCCTTCACTGTTCCTTTTCTCTAAAACATCTGGGAGATATTGATTTCTTTTTAGGAATCCAAGTTAAAAAGCTCCTTCATGGTTGCCTGCACCTCTCACAAGCCAAATACATCAGAGATCTTCTTCACAGAGTTGGAATGACAGATTCTAAGGGTGTGAAAACACCTATGGTGAGTACCTGTAAGCTCACCAATGAAGGAAGTGACCCTCTTCCTGATCCCTCTCATTACAGATCTGTTGTTGGAATTCTGCAGTATGCTACTCTAACCAGACCTGAACTTAGCTATGCTGTAAATAAGGTGTGTCAGTTTATGAGTAATCCTCTACAAGACCACTGGAAAGCTGTGAAACATATACTGAGATATCTATCTGGCACTATTACTCATGGACTGATTATCAAACCTCTTCCCTTAGACAAAAATACCTCTACCAATCTCAGCTTTCTGTGATGCTGACTGGGCATCAGATCCTACAGACAGAAAATCTACATCTGGGTCATGCATTTTCCTAGGCTCTAATATTATCTCCTGGTGGTCTAGGAAACAACTGAGGGTAGCAAGATCTTCAGCTGAAGCTGAATACAGAAGCCTAGCAGACACTACATCAGAACTTTTATGGGTTCAATTTTTACTCAAAGAACTTCAAGCCCCTTTTAAAACTCCAAGAATTTACTATGACAATCTCAGCACTGTACAGCTAGCTCACAATCCTGTCCTACATTCTCGCATAAAACATATGGAAATTGATCTTTTCTTTGTCAGAGAGAGTTCATCTCAAACAGCTTGAAGTTTTCCACATTCCAGCCTCCCAACAAATTGCAGATGTGTTGACTAAGCCTCTATCTGCTTCCACCTTTCTTGAGTTCAAAGACAAACTGAGTGTGATTGATTTTCCAGTTCAATCACCCTCAATTTGAGGGGGGAATGTTAGGAATAGTATATAAAAGCTACACGTACATTGCTTTGTAATTAATGTTAGTTGGGCTTCTGTTATATTAGTTACAGTTAGTTACAACCATAGCTTCTATAAATACTCTGTACACTTTCTATTTCTGAATAAGATGATTTCACTTCTTTCTTCTACCTTGCTCTATTTCTAATAATCATCAATGAACCCATTATATTATCTAATCATCAAAATTATTTCTCAAAATATACTCAAATTACCATATTTAATTATTGTCTAAATAATTGTGCCATTTTGCAATGAGAAGTTGGGAACCTTTGAATGGGACAGAGGTAGTATATAGTTCAGGGGCACATTCAAAAGTTCCTATTTGGAGCTTTTCAATTAGTAGTTCGTTTTAAAAAGAAATATTTAGGTAAAAGACACTTACCTATACTGGCCAAACATATAAGTTTCCGTTTTTAGACCTTCTACTAAAAGAGCTTTGAGACCTAGAAAGCCTAGACCAACGTGATATTTGTTTAGAGTCCTACCAACGGATCGGTTCAAAACAGCTGACACCTCCTGTTGGACGGAGCGCTGCAACTCCAGTTGCATATCCACACAGGCTTCCAACATTCTCTGCATTGTGTTCATACCTTGCTGCAGTTTTGCCATGTCTGCTCTCAGCTCATTCGTTGCCCCCCACTCCTGCTCCAGGTAATAATCAATCAAATACAAACTCGCTTCAAACAAGCATATGAAGACTATGCACATTGGGGGTATGTTTGGATCCCATGAAGTGCTAGGGAAGGGGGCAAACATGTGTTATACTACGTATAATTATTTCTTGTGTTCGGTTTTACGACGGAAAATGTGATGAATGTTCTTATATTCTTTTGCATATCCTGGGACGTCTGGTAATAATAGAAAAAAATAAAATTAGTTTGAAGAAATATAAAAAGTAAATTTATTGAGTTTGAACAAATGTTTAATTTATTGAGTAGAAAAATGTAGCATATACATGTTATTTTATTAAGTGTACATCCGGAACTGTATAGATAGGAATTAGAGTTGATTTAGATCTCTAATTCTTAGATTAGCTCGCAGAGTAGATAAGAATAGATAGATCCTAATATTTAGGATCTGTAACAACTTTAGTTTATCTGTAAATTTGTATATATATCATTGCCGGATGGCTCAATAATATACAAGTAAGATTAATTCTTCAAACCTACATGGTATCAGAGACTTGTTGTTTAAAAAACCATAATGGTGGACACTGAACACTCTGATTCCTCCACCCACTCACAAACCCATCATCCTAACCCCCAAATTAGTCAAATGACAAATTACCAGGCCTCGGTTAATTCATCTATGCTCATTACTGGACATAGATTGAATGGAACCAACTACCTAGAGTGGTCACAGTCTGTCAAACTGGCAATAGATGGAAGAGGAAAACTGGGATACATAACGGGTGAAGTAGAGGAGAAGAAGAATGGTGAAGATGGCTACAATGTCTGGAGGTCAGAGAACTCTTTGGTAACAGCCTGGCTTCTCAGTTCAATGGATGCATCAATTGCCAAACCTCACATGTTCATGAGAACTGCAAAAGAGGTATGAGATTCAATCAAAGAAACCTACTCAGATCTTGAGAATTCTTCTCAGATCTATGAATTAAAAACTAGGTTGTGGCAGTCCAAACAAGGAAATAGAGATGTCATCTCATACTATAATGAGATGGTATCTCTATGGCAAGAATTGGATCAATGCTATGATGCTGAAGACTGGGAAAGTGCCAAGGATCTGGCAAGACACAAGAAGAGAGAGGAAAATGACAGAGTCTATATGTTCCTAGCAGGAATGAATAGAGACCTAGATGAAGTAAAAGGCAGAATACTGGGGAAGAAACCCTTGGCCTCAATCAGAGAAGTCTTCTCTGAGATCAGGTTGGAAGATAGCAGGAGGAGGGTCATGTACAACACTCCAGTACCTAATGAGGAACCTGGGGAATCTTCAGCTTTGGTGGCCAGAAGTGATGACAACAAGAAAAAACCTTGGTGTGATCACTGCAAGAAACTGTGGCACACAAGGGATACATGCTGGAAACTCCATGGAAAACCACCAGGAGCTGGAAAGAAGAAAGTAGAAAGGGCCCTACAAACTACTGTGACTGAGACTCAACAAGAGGCAGGAGTTGAATCTAAACAGCTACCATTCACTCAGGAACAGATAGAGTACCTACTCAAATTCATACCCACCCAGAAAATCTCCAACCAAGAAAACCCTACCTGTTCTTTTGCCCAAAATGGTAAAATAACATCATATTTTTGTTCTGAAAAACCTAAAAACACCTGGGTCATTGACTCAGGTGCAACAGACCACATGACCTACATTCCAAAGTTTTTTTCTTCTTATCAACCTTGTGCAGGAGATAAGAAAGTTAGAGTTGCAGATGGCTCTTTTTCAGCCATAGCAGGGATGGGAAATATTAAAATTTCCTCATCCATTAACCTTTCCAAAGTCTTACATGTTCCAAAACTTTCCTGCAATCTTATCTCTATTAGCAAAATTACTAAAGATCTTCAGTGTTGTGTAAAAAATTTTCCCTCTTATTGCATTTTTCAGGATCTGGCATCAGGGAAGATGATTGGCAGTGCTAGAGAGGAAGATGGCCTCTATACTTTTGATGAAGGAACACAATTGAATAAACAAGGTCAAGAAAAAACTTGTTTGCAAACTATTTTCTTTCCTTGTAATAATGAAGTGTATTTAATGCACTATAGATTAGGTCACCCAAGTTTTTCTTATCTGAAAATGTTGTTTCCTAAGTTATTTCTGAATAAAAATCCTTCATCATTTCATTGTGATATGTGTGCACTTACCAAACATCATAGGAGTTCTTACATCCCTCATAGTTACAAGCCAACTAGTCATTTTACTATTGTACACAGTGATATCTGGGGTGCATCTAGAGTTTCAACTCTGAAAGGAAAAAGGTGGTTTGTAACTATCATAGATGATCACACACGGGTCACATGGGTGTTCTTACTTAAAGAAAAATCTGAGATTGAAGAAGTGTTCAAAAAATTTTACTCAATGATCCAAACTCAATTCAACACTAATATCAAAATTGTGAGAAGTGATAATGGTCTTGAGTACTTTTCTAAGAAGTTAAATAACTTTTTTGCTGAAAAAGGGATTATTCATCAAAGTTCCTGTGTAAATACACCTGCTCAGAATGGAATAGCTGAGAGGAAAAATAGACATTTACTTGAAGTCACTCGTGCAATTATGTTTTCAGCTAAAATTCCAAAATATTTATGGGGAGAAGCTGTTTTACATGCTACCTATCTAATTAATAGGATGCCATCAAAAACTCTAGGATTCAAAACTCTTATTGATACTCTTCAAGCCAGTTTTCCTGAAACTAGACTCATTAATTCTCTTCCCATAAAAATATTTGGCTGCACAGTTTTTATTACCAATCCTGACAGAACTGCAAGCAAATTTGACCCTAGAGGGAAAAAATGTGTTTTCTTAGGACTATCTTCAACTCAGAAAGGCTATAAATGTTTTGACCCTATAACAAAAAAGATGTTTATAACTATGAACACTGTTTTTGTAGAAGATCAACCTTTTTTTGGTACTCATCTTCAGGGGGAGATTCCTAATGAAGATGGTAATAATGTGTCACATATCCATGAAAAACTAGAATCTCTTGACATTAATCTAGATGCACAATTTAATAGACAGTTAGATGCACTAGAAAATAGTCAAGAGTCAAAAGAAAATGAAAAATTTTTTTCTGAAACAAGGAAAGATGATGAACAGAAGACAAGTAAGTTTTTTGGCAAGGTTTATGAAAGGAGAGTTCCAAATCACAGAATAGAGGACATCCCTGATCCTGCCACTGTCCAAGAATCTGACTCAATGCCAGAAAATGACAAAGGTAATAATTTCAGTGATCTAAATCTACCCATTGCTCTCAGAAAAGAAAAAAGGTCATGTGTTAAATACCCTATCTCAAACTATCTGTCCTATTCTCAGTTATCTACATCATTTGCAGCCTTTACCTCTAGCCTTTCCACTGTTTCTATTCCCTTAACCATACAGGAAGCCCTATCTATACCTGAGTGGAAGAAGGCTGTTTTAGAAGAAATGAATGCCCTTGAAAAGAATCAGACATGGCAGACTGTAGAAGTACCCAAAAACAAACCAAGGGTGGGATGCAAATGGGTATTTACCCCTAAATTCAAGGCAGATGGTACACTTGAAAGATATAAGGCCAGATTGGTTGCCAAAGGATACACACAAACCTATGGCATAGATTATACAGAAACTTTTGCTCCAGTTGCAAAATTAAATACTATAAGGATCCTACTATCTCTAGCTACTAACCTAGACTGGCCTCTTCAACAGTTAGATGTGAAGAATGCTTTCCTAAATGGGAAGCTTGAAGAGGAAGTATACATGAGCCCCCCTCCTGGGTTTGAGGAGCAATATGGCTCAAAGGTGTGCAAGCTGGAGAAAGCCTTATATGGACTTAAACAGTCCCCAAGGGCTTGGTTTGAGAGGTTTACTCAATTCATAAAGAAGCAGGGATTCAAGCAAGCCCAAGCAGACCATACATTATTCATGAAATTCTCCATTAAGGGAGAAATTGCAGTACTAATTGTTTATGTGGATGATATAATTCTTACAGGAAACTATTGTGAAGAGATTAAAGACCTGAAGAAGAAGCTTGCTCAGGAATTTGAAATCAAAGACCTGGGAGAATTGAAGTATTTTCTTGGCATGGAGATAGCCAGATCAAAGAAGGGAATTGTGATATCCCAGAGGAAGTATGTACTAGACCTACTTCATGAAACAGGTATGAGTGCCTGCAGACCAATAGATACTCCAATTGACCCTAATCAAAAGTTAGGAAATGTCAAGGAAGGAGTACCAGTTAATATTCACCAATATCAAAGATTGGTGGGAAGGTTGATTTATCTGGCACATACAAGGCCAGATATTGCCTTTGCAGTCAGTATGGTTAGTCAGTTCATGCATAATCCATTCCAGGAACATCTAGATGCTACCTACAGGATCCTAAGATATTTGAAAAGCTGTCCAGGGAAAGGATTATTTTTTAAAAGAAGTGACAATAGAAGTGTAGAAGCCTTTACAGATGCAGATTATGCTGGTTCAATAACTGATAGAAGGTCTACATCTGGGTATTGTACTTATGTATGGGGGAATCTGGTGACTTGGAGGAGTAAGAAACAGAATGTTGTTGCCAGAAGTAGTGCAGAATCTGAATTTAGATCTATGGCTAATGGAATCTGTGAACTACTTTGGATCAAGAGAATGATGACAGAGTTAAATATGGAAATGGACCTACCTATGAAGTTATATTGTGACAATAAAGCAGCCATTAATATTGCTCACAATCCTGTGTTACATGATCGTACTAAACACATTGAGGTGGACAGGCATTTTATCAAAGAGAAGATTGAAGCTGGAATTGTGTGCACACCATTCATATCTACTAAAGAACAAACAACTGATATCTTTACAAAGGGGCTGTTTAAACCAGTGTTTGAATTTCTTATAAGCAAGTTGGGAATGTATGATATATACTTACCAACTTGAGGGGGAGTGTAGAAAAATGTAGCATATACATGTTATTTTATTAAGTGTACATCCGGAACTGTATAGATAGGAATTAGAGTTGATTTAGATCTCCAATTCTTAGATTAGCTCGCAGAGTAGATAAGAATAGATAGATCCTAATATTTAGGATCTGTAACAACTTTAGTTTATCTGTAAATTTGTATATATATCATTGCCGGATGGCTCAATAATATACAAGTAAGATTAATTCTTCAAACCTACAGTTTTCCTTCCAAATTTGCCCTATATCTTTCCTCCGTAAAACAGATCCATGGTTCTCTAATAGTAATAGATAACACAGAACATCATCCGACTAAAGTACTTGAACAAAACTAAAAATGCAAGCTAAAGAACATTTCGGGTAAGAAAAGTCCACAATTATTTATCAAATGAAAAACTACGGAGGTGGAACTAGGTAAGGAACAGCAGCCCAAAAGAAGGGATAAGAGAGCATACAAATTCAGAACGATGGACAGTGTGACGAGCCCAACCAGATTGATGCATATATTGATGCCGAAGAGGTTGTGGTGGAGGCACAGGAGGGGGTGGTAATAGAGTTGGTGGTCTACCCATACTATCATCATGTTGATCTTCAATATGTTGTTGTTCTTGGTCCTCCCTTTCTGGTGAGGTGGGGATGGGGGACAGATTTCTGTGTACATCCCAATCAATAGGTGCATGACTTTGCCTTTCTACATATGACTGAATTAACTGATCCAAACTCTCACGGAACCCACTCTGTAAAAGATTGGAAACACTCCTCCTGCAATATACAGGAAATTTCAACATGCTCCAGATATTAGATAATAACATGTTCAATGACAAATTCAGTTTCATTGTAGCATATCAAGTTCTCAAAATGTTTAGGAGGGAGTGTTACATGTATTTTTACTAAGTACAGCTTTTAAATTTTGGTAACAGCCATAGCTTACAGCTGACATAAATGATGAATCACATTTTTTTAATTTATTTGTTGGTTTGCTAAATCTATATTTGTGCGTCTTTGTTGCACATTTTTGATAAATAATATTGAAAATCAGCTTCGGTTGATTGAATGAACTCTTTTTAGGAACAAAAAAGAGATTGAAGCAACAATCTATCTTTTTATTTAACCACGAATAGGGACTGTGATGTGACCCACATAAAACAGAAGAAAGAAAAGTACCCCAGGAAAATACTCTCTAGGTTAATATATTCCCAGAAACAAAAGCAGCACGACTGTAAAGATATTGATTTCACCTGCTTACAAGTTCCCTGAGTTCCAAACTGTATATATTCTCATCACCGGGGGGTTGGAATCTATTAAACCTACTAAGTAGGACTGAGGGCTGCAGACTAGGATGATCAGGATATTCCTCAGTCAAATTCTCTGCAGCCTCTTGCAAGCCATCACCATGCCAAACCTCTTGGCCTTCTTGCAGCACTTGATCATCTCCACTTGCATCTCCTTCAGTCTCATGGGGCCGCCGAGCAGTTACTGAACTAACATGCCAGTCCATTCTTGTGTGTTCAACAGTCTCATCAGTCCACCCAGTAGATTCACCAGAAGTCAAGTCTTCTTGGTTTCCTCCCTCAGAATCAAATTCTCTACCCTGACTAAGAACTGGCTGTTGACTTGGGCTTTGATTGAAACTAAAATCACCGCTTTCTATGTGTTCACCATGCAGCTGAGGGGTATTAACATCATCTTCACTAGGCTGCACTTGCTCAAGGTTTTCATTTCGAATCTGTAATGAAGGATTTATACGAGTCTGGGGATTTTGAGAATCCCTGTTGATTCTGTCAGATGGAGGCTCAGAGTTGCTGCTTGCTTGACCACGGACAATGTTTTCTAATCTCGAACGGAATCCTTCCCTAAACAAATAAGTAAATATTTGGAAACCAACGTAATCAATAATAAAATATGTAATCAATAATAATATATGCAAAGGAAATTCCACATGAAAGTACAATTATTTGGAAATCTAGATCTACACATAGAGCCATAGAGGTACTTAATGATGATCCTGCGATTCATGATGCCTTGAAGGAACCTAGAGTAGAAAAATACTCAGAGAATCATATCATATTAACACATACACCTCATTACAAACCACCAGTCCACCATACAAGCTTCTGAAGCCATTATCATCTTCACTTTTCATAATGCATTTTAAGTTGTAGCCTATGAATCGTTATTATCTAGTACTCTTACCCCCATATTTGAACTGTACAGTACACTAGTGAATATGGTATCTAGAAACCTTGCTAGGATTTGCAATCAGAACAAAACACTTTGAGGTTACATGATGTAATACTCCATATATACTTCTGTTCTGGAATACCACATTGTCAGGACAAGCATAAAAATTTTAGTGCAGAAGGGATCACTCTTTTGCTTTTTTTCTTGTTACAAAAGAGAAGATAATGATGAGAAAGGATCCAACCCCTGGCCATACATTAGAAAGGATCCACCTACATTGTTAATCCACTTTCAATAACTTACCCACTAAAGTCATATCCTCGAATCCTCATGGATACATTATTATTGACTAGCTTAACATGTAACACCACCATTATCGAATTGTTTCATGTTATCTTGGAAATATTATATGTTATCATCTTCCTAAACCATAAGATAGCAAGAAATTAGATCTTAGGACTCTACTCCCTTAGGGATACATTATTGATAAACATAACATGTAACACCACCATTATCAGATTGTGATAGAACACTGGTAATCGATTACTCAGAACAGTAGGGAATCTAAGAAAATTAATCTAGAACAGATCAACAGTTTGTTTATTGAGTAAGAACAGATCAAAGTAGGTAAACAGTGCTAGGGACAAATCGACAATTCGAGATGCCCAATCTCCAAGTCTACAACCAACCAAAATAACAGCCTGCCTTATTTAGCTATCCACCTCCTATTTATAGCTACCACCCACGTAGGGATGTCAACAGTTAGCTAACTAATTTGTTAACTAACTAACTACCCTCTTACTCCTCCTTCGATAGACTCTATCAAAATATTGAATAGGTTGATCATCCGCGTGCCTATCAGATTGTTTAATGTTATATTAGAAATATAATATGTTATCATCTTCCTAAACCATAAGATAGCAAAAATTAGATCTTAAGACTCTAGTCTCATACAATCTATCACAATGATGAAGGTTTCAGCACCACAAACCCTAAAAGGAGTGGAAGAAGTTTTTAGAATAATTAAAGAACTAAATAAGACATGATAGCATAACTTTCAAAGGCAAAACAAGCCTCTTGTGTGGAATCAAAGATGTGGTGCAGGAAATTTTAGCCCAAATACCTCAAGCCAGAGACAGGACGACGGTTCCTCAGCTGAACCAATTCAGCTGCTGCCATTGAAGGCGGACTCTCCTCCTCAACGGGTCTTTCATTTCGCAGGAATCTACCTCTGAGTAGTGACTTGGAGAAATATAATAAACCATGTAAACATATATGAGATGACACAGATTCTCTGTTTTTTTTCTTTTAAAAGGGAATTAAATTGAACTTATTTGAGTAGCTTTTCAAGTTATTTATATGAGATTTTCCACTGTAACCCTGTTTTTAATTTAAAATGATACACCCCTTTATGTCATTTTGTATTTCACAGCTAGCTTATCAAGTATATTTATGAAATCAACTGACATATCAATTAAAAACTATAAGTTTTTAAGTTTACCGATTAACTTAAAAGCTATAGCTGACTTATTAGGCTACTAGCTTGTGTTGCCAAACAATCCAAGATTAGATTTAGAATTTGTATAATTATAAGTGTACACACGCATATATAGACATAGCGGAAAGAAGTATGAAACAGACAGTCAAATTTAAAACACAAGAGGATAAACTTTCAATAACTGAGAAAAATGAACCATTTGAGGAATATTTAAAATTCAGAACACAAAAAACGACAGCAACATGGCACATAAAGAAATGGAAAGAAGAGACGATGTGATAACTAACTTGGATGCGATTGAGGTGGCCAAAGTCGGAAACAGCGCGGTACTCCGAAAGCATCTGAAGTTCCCTATGCCTTTCCCTTACACTCCCCACAATCAAACCGAGCTGACCCTGCCTTCCACATGATCTCAGCATCTCCCCACAAACATGCTCTGGCTGCAGATCTTCATCATCATCCGGTCCGCTGTTCTGTTCTTCCCTCTGACACTCAAGAAACGATCTATGTTGACTGTCCATTTGCACCGACTCCCTCACGATTACTACTCCTTCACGTTCAGACTCCGTGATCTGTTCCCCTCTCGAGTTGCCATTGCTATCGACAACAATAGATGATGCCTCTGAGAGACCACTCTCCATCCAACCATGAACAATCCTTTCCACCCTCTCCCTCTCTACATCACCTATATCAGAAGATTGCTCCCGGATGAAATCATTGTGCTCCGAGTTCTCATTCCATTGTGAAATCAGATCAGAAGACCGAACTCTATTGTCATTCGCCATCTCAGTAGCATCAGTAAAGCTTCCTTGGTTCTCACTGTCTCTGCTTTCTGGCATGTTCATGCTCATCGGGTGTGTCAGTCTTTCCGTAGGGGACTGTGATTCCATCAAGGATGATGAATCAAGCATGGAGGCAGCGGGTACCTGGGAGGGTGCCAACAACTCAGACTCAAGATCCCTTCTTTCAGTTCCAATGGTGCTAATCATCTCCTGTGCATGCTTGGCAGCCCACCTACTAAATATCCGTGAATGGTGGTGCCGCCTGGCAACAGATGACTCCGGCAGTTCATCCCCCTCAGCAGCAGACCCCCTCCGATTAAAAAGCTGGCCATTCTCCCCGTCATCACCCACTTCACCCGTCACAGAGGATGCAAATGACAAACAATCATCGAAGTGGCCTCTCGTCAACTCCTCAAGCCCCCTCTGGAATTCAATGTGGGGATCAGCTGTCATACTCCCTGGCTTCTGTTGGATTTGCTTCTGAGCATCAGTCATTGCTTATTTGCTTTACATCACTAATTGAGAGCCTAAAAGCTGGAGAATCGCCTAATGAGGCAGCCCTAAAATGCAGAGCTAATACCACTTCCCTGACAAAGAAATTGAGGGTCTGGCACGTCACTCCATTACTCATCTAACAGAAGGGCGCTGTTTTGATACAGTTTGACTAGTTGGATACACACAAATCGCCTGCTAAAATAAAAGAGCAGAAAACCTAAAATTTCATCAAACAAGCCAGACTACCATAAATAAGAAGAATCAAGCATTTTCACGACATGGAAGCATTAAGATAAAGGAGCTCGATCAGCAAACTGATCAAGTCAAGGAAGTCAATCGAACAAAGATTTGGCACTAAAGCTTACCTGTAAAGTGTGAGAATCAAAATCTGATGATACTCTGTCACCCATCTACTAAGCATACATATATGAAACTGTGCTTTAGTACTGCTTTCTACATGGACAGAAAAGTGATGGCGAAAATGAGAGGCAGCCGGAGCAACGGAGACAGAACGCGATGCTGATTAAGACCAGTCAGAAAAATATCTCCTTTCTGAGTACTTTTTATTTTACTGTGAAAATCTTTACGGAGTACTGAATGTTACTCCGTTGATGAACTCTCCTTGTGGAGTTGGGGACGAGAACCTCTGGGGGCGTTTAATATCTTGTCTCACAATTTGGTGAGTCCTTAATCAATCTAATGGTTTCTGTGACAAGGAAGAGTCACTGCTAAAATTGCTCTGGAATCATCATCCCCGAAGTTCTAACTTCTACCCAACGACTCTTGAGTCTTGAGTTTTACTATTTTTGTGAGCAGTGGATCATGGAGTTCTTATGCACCCCATGTTTTTGGAGACATGATGTAAATAAGTCTCATTTCAAAAGTAAATAGATTATGTATAGGGAAGGAAGATATAAATTATTAATGATATGTTGGAAAGATAGTAGAATAATGTGATAGAACAAAGGATAGATCCAAAAAAGTAGTTGTAATATTGTATTACCTTCGTCTCACTCAATTTTGTCAAATTGATGTTAGGTGGGAAATTAGAATAGTAAAATTTGTGTGATTGAGGTTTGTGAAGAGGAGAGAAAAATGAACACAGCCACAAAACATTGCTTTAAAAGGAAAGTGTCAAAGTTTTTTGGGACAAACAAAAAAGGAAGTTGGCAAAGTCAAGTGAGAGGAGAGAGTATTATTTTTAAAATTATTGAGGATATCATGAGAAGTTTTAGAAAGGGGAAGATATGTATGTTGCGGCCAAAAAAGGAAAGTGAGAAGATATGAATGTTAGGGATATCTGTATGTCATTACCCTCAAAAGCTATGATTTGAGAGTTGAGAAGGATGGAATTTAGAAATGATTAAAAAAAGGTGCACATGTTGTTAAGGAATACTTGATTACATTATTTGATTATTAATAGTGTCTTAGTAGTGTCTTGAAAGAAAAACATGTACTCCCTTCACCCAAATTTAATTTGTAATTTTTTTATTTTGATTTTTCCAATATATTTGCTACTTTCCATTATAAACATAGAAAGATGAATAGAATTATAGATTTACCCTTACTTTTAACTTGCTCATTTTCTACTCTCACTCTTCCGATTTACGAATGAATTTATCCACATATTTGTATCTTGTCAACCTCAATGGCACACTCTTTTCTCTCTACTCATATTCAATTGTCGATCCTAACTTCTCTCCCTCATATCACAACTTCTCTACTCCTTCAATAACTCTCAACAACTTCTGTGTAAGGTGGACAAGTGTTCGTCTCAATGGTCAGTGAGACTTCTATGTTAGTGAATTTTGTAGTGAGAATCCTATGAACTCTCAAAGTTTAGGGTATTGCGATGAAGACGATGATGGAGAAATTGAAGAAGGTTCAAGTTTAGGCATTATTAGGTTCGAGAGCTTAATTGACTGTTTGATATACTATGAGGGCCACAGTTTTGAGTTTTCCCCTGCAAAATCCCAATCCTTAATTACTTTTTTTTTACAAAAGGCAACTTGATTATTATTAATAAAAATCGAAAACATATACAAATTCGTCATATCAAAGACTACACTGGAATGAGACTCGGAGCTGAAGCCACGCTTACCAGCGGTCCAACACGCTAACCCCGCAATACGGTAGACTCCGTTAACATCAATGTTGCACAAGCTACTACAAGGGAAAGCATAAAAAATAAAGTAGTTCTGAGAAGATAAAGAACGATATCCAGATTTTTCAGCTACCCGCAAGGAGACAGGGGTTTGACCAACCCCCACTAAAGGTTCCTCCTGTATGCCACTGTTGGGATATTGATCCAGAGGCCCAATACCCGGATCAGGAAGGCCCGAGATACCCGGCCTGAGCAACGGGCCCATCACATGATGATAGGATAATCATGGTAGAATTAATGTCGAACGAGAATCGGCCCAAGTAAGGGTTGGCCCAGTAAGGAGACATACCGAACGGAGTTCGGACTATATATCATACTTGGGCCAATTTGATAGCATCTTCAGCATAGCCCAACATCCCGTTCGGGCAACGGCCAAACCGCAAGTGGCCAGGTGCAATTAATGCCAGACTGTGACATCAGCAAGTGGAAGCATGGATGACCAAGTCGGTGGAACAACGGCCAATCAGCATAGGGCAGCCCATGCTCTCCATTAGTATAAATAGAAGGTTTCAAGTCATTGTAAGGGTTAGCATTTCAATACTCAGGCTCTAACATAGCATCATTGCTCTTATTTCTTGTATTAAAGCATAGTTTCCGACCTACCAATCGGGAAACTCCTTGTAATCAGATTGGTTAATTAATACAAGTGAGCTTTCGAGTGTTAGTTAGTTCAGATCTTATATTTTTTACACGCTTTGATTCTGTGTCATTCCTGATATATCCAAAGTTCATGTTGGGCTTTCGGATCTACGGGATTTACCTTCAACATTGGCGCCGTCTGTGGGAAACTTGCAAAAAGTTTCACATTCAAATCATCCAAAAACCTCTATTTTCAAAAATGGTCAGAATCAGTTCCTATCATACAAGCGACGGTTCACGCCGTCACGGGAGGAGTCACACCCCGGGGAGTCAAAACCCTCAGGGACAATCCAGTCGAGGATCGTATCCTCGTTTTGATGAGGACTTTGTGATTCCTGAATCTCTGAGAAGAAATCCTCAGGCCATGCGTGACATGGCCCAGGTCATGCAGCATATGGCGAACGAAGAGGAAGGAGGTTCCAGCTTTACAGGGGAGACTCCACGCACGGAAACAACCACAGCGTCATCCCGTTCGCATGCCCATCGGGATAATCGACGTAGCGCCCCACCAACAGCGCACCACAGTCCCAGTGACCGAACCCCGATCGGGTCACAAGCTAGAGGACCAACTCCCGTTGGTCATCATTTCCAGTATGCCGAGCGGGAAAATACTAGGGCCCCTCAACGGCAATGGGACCGGGACTGTACGGATATGAGGGCTCCACCACCGCCCCTTTGGCGGCCCAGGAGGAAGAAATGGCCGAGATGAGGAGGCAGATGAATGAAATGCGAGACCAGATGAACCGGGCGCCTGTACAACCTGCCCCAGTTCAGCTGGGAATTACTTCCCCGTTTACTAGGGAACTCATGTACGCAGATATCCAAGGGGGTGCCAAGCCCCCGATCGGCCAAATCTATGACGGGGTGGGAGATCCCCACGTGCATTTGAGGAGTTACCAAGGGGGACTCATGCTGCTAGGCGCACTCGAGGCCGCCATTTGCCGGTTGTTTTTTAGCACGCTCAGGGGACCTGCCCAGGAGTGGTTCGGGACACTGCAGCCCGGGTCAATCAACAGCTTTGCCGAGTTATCGGCGGTATTCTTGGCCCAGTTTGCTTCCAGTGCCAATCCCAAACGGCACTTCAGCTGTTTGACCAGCGTGAAGCAAAACGCCAAAGAAACCCTCAATCAATTTCTGAAAAGATGGAGGGATGAAACTTTAACGGTGGGAAACATGACGGATGATACCGCCATTACTCTATTCACAAATGCTCTCCGAACGGGGGAGTTGTACAAAGAGTTGAAGAAAAATTCGGGTACGGTGTACGCCGAGGTATTGGATAGGGCTCGCAAGCATGCCGCCCTAGAAGAAGAGATAATGATCAGGGATAAGGTCATTGCGCCTGCTGCCCCGATCAGAATGGCCGATCGCCTGGGTCCTAGCCCAGTGGCCGCTTTACCTCCCAAAAAAGGGAGATTTACACCCCTGGTCCTATCAGTAGCGACCATCTATCAGCACGAGAGGGACAATATACCCCTCCCGACTGATTCTGGACAGTTCATGGGGGCGGATGATAATGCTTTCTATAAATATCACAACAGAAAGGGTCATGCCACCAATGCCTGCAGGGCCCTACAAACAGCCATTGAGGATCTGATCCGAAGGGGCCATCTGGGCAAGTATGTGAATAAAGATCCAAATGCTATGGGCACGTTGAAACCGGCCAGGAAATCAAATAGCTGGCGCCGGGATGCTCAACGTGACGCCCAGCCTCAAAATGATGTGTATGTTCCTCCCAGGGATGAACCAGAGGGCTCGGGAGGCCCTGGAAAGAAGCCTCGAATGGAGGTCAAGGTTATATTTGGGGGCGGGGAGACAGGAGATTCGAACGCCGAACGGAAAAGGTTCGAGCGAAGTCTTTATGTGGGATCCGTCTTCGCTCCCCCCAGAAGAAAAGAAGGACAGACCCGATCACGTTCGGGCCAGCTGATTTACCCAACTCTCCAAGCCCACACAGGGATGAACTGGTGGTAAGCATGTGTGTTGACAATGCTTTGATCCGCCGAGTACTGGTCGATACCGGGAGCAGTGTGAATGTATTGTATCTATAATCATTCGAGAAAATGGGTCTACAAAGAAGCCAACTGACCCACCTACGGACCCCACTGGCAAGTTTCACCGGTAACTGCATCGAGGCTGAGGGGACCATCCAATTAATGGTTGAAATTGGGGATGAAACCCACAAAGCGTCACTCCGAATGACGTTCGTGGTAGTAGATATAAAGTGTGCCCACAATGCCATATTGGGCCGACCGGGATTGGAAGATCTGGAGGCAATAGCCTCTGTCCGCCACTCATGCATCAAATTCCCTACAGACACTGGGGTTGGGGTGGCCAGAACTGATCCGACGACAGCCCGGACATGTTATCGGGAGGCCCTGAAACAGAT